ATCCTTGTGGCCCCGATCCGTGCACCTTAGAGTCGTTGCCAGAGGTGTATGTGAGCGGCTGGAGTCCCAGGGGCAGGATAGTAGACAGTTGCCCATTGTGGGTACTTGGTTCTTCTGAGAGTCAGCCTTTAAAATGTCCTAAAAAGGAAGAAAAGGGAGACAGTAACTCAGCATCTAGTTCTAGAAACAACCTAGCTGGGTGCGAGTGTGAAATTAATGCAGTGGTTGTCAGCCCCCAGCTTGCTGTGACTTAGCTCCATTTAAGTACTCATGCATCATCCCCATTATCATCACTTGTAGTAGTAGTAGGTCACAGGGTCGAACCCGGCGGTGCTGGGGGCTTGCTCCTGGCTCTGCTCAGGGACCACTCCTGGTGGGACTTGGGGAACCCACCAACACAGTGCTGGAAACCAGAGCTGGCTGTATGTCAAGACAAGTACTTACACCTGGCACTGTCTCTGGCCCTCAGTGTGAGTGTTTGCAGGAGAAGTGCCCTGTCTGTTCTGGTAGTAGGGAGTAGCAATGCCGCCTCCACCCTGTGGATGGGTTCTGCTAGGGGGGCTAGTCCGAATTGGCTGAGACTCCTTCATCCGGCCTGGAAAGATCGATGAGAAATCAGATGACTTAATTTTGTTTTCATTTGATTTCTGAATTAGTATACTTTGCAAGCATATTTAGCAACTTAAATGACTCCCCTTTGTTGTTATTATTGTAGGGCCACACCCAGTTGTGCTCAGGGCTTCCTCCTAGCTCTAAGCTCAGGCACGAGTCACTGCTGGCTGTGCTCAACTGTATGGGGTGCCAGGAATAGAACCCAGCTGGGCCCACATGCAAGGCAAATGCCCTACTTGATGTCCTATCTCTCTGCCCCCATAGATAATTCCTTTTTAAGTCTGTTCTGGTCAGGTTGATTTTCTTATACATGGACCAGATAAAAAGCCCTTTTGACTTAGTGTAAAACTTGGAATCATTTTACGTTTTCAAACTGGTCTTTTCATTATCTGTGTTTTTAAGAACCTAAACAGAAAAGTGCTGCTGCTGAGGACTGTCTAAATTGGCTGAAAGAATTAAAATATTACTACCAGAAACAGTTTGTCAAAGTGCTTTCAGGTTTGCTTCTGACTTACCGTATTGGCATTAAAAAACAGTTAAAAGGAATAAACAGACTCCTTTGTATTTTAGGATTTTGGGGTCAATGAAATTGATTTGGAACCCTTTCAATATTATTTTTTCTGCTTTACCAGGACTATTAAGAATTGTTATTAATTTACTTGCCAGTGATGGTAAATGAGCTCTCCTTAGCAGCAGGAAATCCTACAGATTGTGCTTCTTTCACTCATCGGACTCTGTATAAGCAGCACCTTCCCTCTGGGGTGCTTCTGCCTCCCCCAGCACCACCCCAGTTAAGAGCGCTGTCAGCCTCAGCTTGCTGATGCCTGTGTAACCACACAGCTTCATCCTAGAGCCACACATCATTTTGTTCTGGCTTGCCTGTAGTCAATTTTTCTATATGATCCGTTGGGGTGTGTTTTTAGAAAAGGTGTTAACCATTCAGGCATACTGTGCCTTTTAGCAATGGCCAAGTGAGGTGGGTGTGGCCTGGTGTACTTCCGGCCGTCTGGCTTAGCTGCCTGTGCACACAGCACACAGCAACTGCCGCAGCCCTAGGAGCTTTGTCACTGTATTCCTCTGGCCAGCATAGCCGCTGCCAGTCAGCCCGCTCCCCAGGGGTTGCCCCTAAAGTGGGGTGAGAATGACTAGGGCTAACCTTGAATCTGGAGCCAGAGCCACACGGCCTGACTCTCTGGCCACAGCCACCACTTGGCACTTGTTGGTACCTTCTAGGCTGTCAAACCACACTGAAGCCACCTAAGGTTAAAATTGATGGTATGAAGCATGAGATTGGTGTGTATTGGAAAGCTGTATGTTCTTAACTATTCAGAGTGAGCCCTAGAAGTTAGGGGCAGCCAGAAAGGTTCTAGTTGGTATCATCTGGAAGGATCACTCGAATAAAAATTATGAACTGTGGCATTTTGGGTGACTACTGACTAATTTAGAATTTATTTTTATTTCACTCTAATATTTCACTGTGATGTTAACTTGAAAGACCTGTTTGAGATAAGTCTTTTGATTTTAAGCTCATTAAATCCGCTGAGCACAGGATCCTTGCCATTTGTAAATCCAAAATACTGTATGAAAGTACTTCCTAGTAATCTTTTTCTTCCATAACAGAAGTATAACTTAAACATGAAAATGATGTTGGTTAATAGAAATATTTATTGTTCAAGGTCTGTAACTGTATTTTTAAATGATGTAGTATTCAACCTGTGAAGGGATTTGTTTGTCAACAGAATTACCAATTCACTTTGTGTACCATCAGCCCCCAGGGGAGGATGTGACTGGGAGCCCCTAATTCGCTCCGAATGGCGGCATCATTTCTAGAGACTGGTTTGAGTATGATCACTGGGTTCCCTTATGTTCCTGAACACTGTCTCGGAAAACTCCTGTCATATTTCTTAAGGAGACTGCATTCCCTGCCCGTAAAGTAATGTATGTCTAAGGCAACTAGGCACTTTGATACTCTCGCATACTGAGTAGGGTAAACTGAGAAGTCAGGAGCTCAGCTGCTTGGAACTCAGTGCCACGAGTGTGGCTGTGGTGGGCCTGGAAGCAGCAGGGAGTTCCTGACAGCCTGTGTTCATTCAGTTACTGCATTTTCCTTTTTCCAAATGCATCCTACTGGATATGGAATAGACTGTAGATGTCGTAGACTGAGATTTGGGACTGTGTTGGGACCGTGCAGGTGAATGTGTCACTTTGACAAACAGCATCTCCGAGTAAGTACTGTCACCCGGTGCATGAGGAGCCTGCAGCTGGAGTGAGGCGTGCTGGCGTGGCGCCCTGCACACGTGGACCCCTGCCTCCCCCGACTGTGTGCTAGTTGTCTGTTGAGTCGCTGGGAGGGGTTGGGCGGGGTGGGAGTTGGAGTCTCCTTCAATCTGTCATGGACTGTAATATTGTAAGGTCTGTATTCTGTATGTGTATCTCGGCCCTTGATCAGGAACAAGCCTCTGTGTGTCTCCACATTTATATTTCCATTCAAAGTATGTAAGCAGACTTTGTTAATTTAGGAGATATCTCCAAGTGGAAACGTGCTAACTTTTTCTGTAAATCTTAAATAAAAGGTGCTGTTCCTTCCTTTGACCCAGGACTGGTCTGTGTTTTCTGTCTTTATCTCCATGCATTTTTTTTTAAGCTTTTAAATGTATTGCAGCTGCACTGCACTGTGGGAAGAATGTGGGGTGGTGGAGAGGTGCCAGGCTCTCATCCCTGAGCCCACATCGAAGCTCGCAGTTTGTGCTCAGTATCTCTCCGGGCCAGCTGTTTGGGCTGCTCGAAAGGTGGTCAGGGTCAGAGAGTGGCCGCTCCTCCTGGTGGGCTTCCCAGCACCCATGCTAGGCTTACCTGTGTCTGAGCACATAGTAGACGTGAGCTCTGAACTCAGCCTGGGCTCGAACAACCTCTCTTGCTGTGGGTGCTAGAGAAGCAAGAGGCGAGCAGGGAGGGAGCAGCTCTGTGCAGGCAGCACCCTCCCAGCCCGCCATAGAGCTTCCTCACACAGCTTCCGTCTGAAAAAGGTGAGGAAACCCCACAGAAAAGGCCTGCGAGTCTGGAGTGGTGGACCCCCCCACACCACTCGCTCCTGTCATAGACAACGACCAACTGATCCCTCCGAAGAGGCGGCCTGTTCTGCTGGAGGGGCCGCGAATCAAATCGTGCGGGGGCCGGGTGTCAAGTAGTGCCGGGGATCAAGCTCGGGGCCCTGCACATGCTGAGGCAGCCCACTTTACCTCAGCTCTGAGCCTGCAAACCTCTCTGGCTGTGCTGAGCAGTTTTGCTTTCTCTATAACTTCGGTGAGCTTCATTTGGGAAGAGCTCATGGATCAGACTTAAATTGGACTGGTTGCCTCCTGGTGGAGCTTTTTTTTTTCCAATAAGCAACCTTGATTTCAGTTTCTAGCTTCATGTTTATCGGCAGAGTCCTTTAGCATAATCAGTTGTGCTTATTGATGTGTGCAGGAAATGTAGCTCATGTTTTTGCTCTGTTGAAAAATTCTGTTTTCAACATTTATTTATCTAATATCAAATACCAAATGTGCTTTTTGTTTTTTTGTATCTGAATTTTACATCTAAGTACTATTTTTATTAAAAGATTTATTTTTAACAAGGTTATTGATTTCTAAAGACTCAGTGCTAATAACAGTCAAGTGAGGGCAAGATGCTATGTCTGATGATAAGGTCAAGCCACTGAGCGGCCCTGATGAATGGGGGGTGGCTGAGGAGTTGTTTAATCCACCCAGAGGTGACGCGTCTTTCTCTCGGGCCTTTCACTGGACTCCAGAGTTGGCAGAGTTAAGGCTGCCTTTGCCTGTTGCTCCCTGGTAGAGAGCCAAGGTTCAATATGAAGAAAATGGGATGGGCAGTTAGGGGTGTGGTGAGCCTGGGAAGCCGTGGTCAGCCCTGGCATACACCCACATACTTCCTACACTGTTCCAGCAGGACCTCGGCGAAGCCTCTGTCCGTACCCTGCACCTTGGTTCTCTTAGCACTTCCCTCAGTAGGAACGTTCTTCTCTCCATGTGGACTCGTTGGATTGTGGCAGATGGGCCGAAGGAGGTCAAGATGGTCAGCCCCAAGGCCCGTGTTGCTTGACCTTTTAGAACAAAGTGGGTTTTCATAAGTCAGTGTTTAAGGAATATTAAGAGAATGTCAAATCTTGTGCCTCTTCTGTGCACCTCTATACTAAAGACTAAGTAGAATCAGGCTGGTATTAAGTTGCTGTACAGTTTAGTCAACAAGTTGTGTCCCGCAGAGCAGGTACCTGAACTGCAGGGGGACCACCCCGGGGCATGTGGAGGAGGCCTGGTGGGGTGTGTGCCACTGAGAGGCCGTCTGCTGGCTGTCACTAGTGAACTGTCATCCGCCTCCTTCATCTCTAGGTATCGGACAGCCTGGGAGATGAGCCCTTGGAGTCCCCATATGAGAGTGCGGACGAAGCACAGACGGAAGTGTCCAAAAAGTCTGAGCGAGGAGTGGCTGCCAAAAAGGAGTACGTGTGCCAGGTGAGGCGGCCGCCCGCAACGGCCTCTTCCTGTTTCTGGTCTGGGTCCTGCGTGCCTCTTGCTGCCCTGCAGCACCTGCTGCTCCATCCCTGGTCTTAGTGTTGAAGCTTTTAGGCTTCAGCGGAAGCTGGCTGGCTTCACTTGCGTGCCGCATATGTCTTATCCTTGTCCATAGCTGATCTCTGTAGATGTTGTGTCGGTCTCACTGGGGAGGCCGTGTTAAGCCCCCAGGCAGCTGTGCCAGGGCTTGACTGTTGTGATGTGCTCTGCCTTTTGAGCCGTATCCTCTCTTTGTGTTCTGGAAGTCTGCGAGTCGTGGGCACGTACTGCCAAGGCTCTGTGCCAATGGTTGAAGCCTGCAACACACCCTGCGCCCAGGCCCAGACCCTCTGGGACATGGAGGGCACTCAAAACTCCCTAGGTGGCTTCTGCCCCTCAGCCGTGTGGAGGTGACTTGGTTTCGGGTGAGAAGGTGTGTGGTGCATGACCCCCGGCTCCTACTGCACCCCCGCCTCCTCGGCTGCTCTGAGGGTCCTTTGTCCCACCTGCCGGGGTTCCGAGGGCTGTGAGGGGCCCCCACTCACTCTTGCCTTTCTGCCCACAGCTGTGTGAGAAGCCCGGCAGCCTCCTGCTCTGCGAGGGCCCGTGCTGTGGGGCATTCCACCTCGCCTGCTTGGGCCTTTCTCGGCGGCCAGAAGGGAGGTTCACCTGCAGCGCCTGTGCTTCAGGCAAGTTCTCGAGTCAGTTGGGAGCCAGTGAGACACACAGACTTTTGTCCTGTTCAGCAGTGTCTTCTGGGCTCCCCCGCCCCCACTCCTGCACGCAGAGAACAGAGCCCTCCCCTCCTCAGGCCTCCCTGGAATTGGCAGCTGCGCACTGGGCACACATGCCTGACCTGGGCACTGTTCCACCAGGTGGTGCATGTCACAGCTTCAGTGGCAGCAGGTGACTGAAGACACGTCTGTGTGAGCCCCAGCTGGGTGGGAGGAGCACAGGGGTCAAGTGGACCTGGTGCCAACAGCACCGACAGTCCCAGGCATTCCCAGTTCCCTATGCTAGGGCAGCAGTCTTGGGGGGAGGGGAACGCAGGCCACAGGACGACGCAGCCTGAATCTGGAGACACCTGGAGTCTTCTGGAGAGTTCCCTCAAGTGCAGTTACACCTCGGTTTGGGGCTGCCTGTCCAGTGTGGCTGTGTGATTCTCCTGAGGCGAGCTAATGCTTCCCAGCAGGCAGTGAGACCTGGTGGCTAGATGTGTTCTGAAGCGTCTTAGGCTTGAGCAGCATGGGCCGCCCCTGACAGTTGCTTTTTAGTGGCTCAGGAGCTGCGATTGTTTGGTTTGGGGTCAAACCAGGAGGTGCTTGGGCTGTGCCTCCCGGGCCTCCCATGTGCAAGCCCACTTAGCACCTTCTCTGGCCCAGGAACCACAACTTAATAATTCTTCTTTGCATCTCTCTCTACTCCTCTCTTTAATTGTTAGGGGTTCACTCATGTTTCGTGTGTAAGGAGAGCCAGACCGACGTTAAGCGCTGTGTCGTCTCACAATGCGGAAAGTTCTACCACGAAGCTTGTGTGAGAAAATTCCCACTGACTGTGTTTGAGAGCCGAGGCTTCCGCTGTCCTCTGCACAGCTGTGTGAGCTGCCATGCATCCAACCCTTCCAACCCCAGACCATCCAAAGGTACAGGCCTGCTTTGGGGTTGCAGGGGGCTGTGAGCACCTCTGAAAGTGGGGCAGGGAGGCTATGGAATTCTTTGCAAGGATTTTTTCTTTTTCTTTGGTGTGTGTGTGGTATGTGGAGTGTGTATGTTAAGGGTGTGGGGGTGGCGTGTGTGTGCGTGTAGTGCTGGCGATGACAGGGCCAGAAGACTCTCCTGGAGCTAGGCAACCCTCCCAGAGTTGGGTTTTTCTTGGCAGTGCCTGCTCACGTTCTCCCTGCTTCCTGCGGAGAGAGGCTTCACTTTCGGAGGCACTTCAGGGCACTCTCCTGGAGTTCTATTCGCTTGTTTTAATTCCACAAAGAGGAAAGTATTTGATACAATTTTGGGATGGGGAGGACTTCTTTGAGTATCTCCCCAGTCATGAGAAAAACATTTTAAAGTCATTTCATGGTAGGTTTGTGAGATTGAGAATTGCACCTACTCCAGCCTTCGTATCATCAGAGCTTCTCAACTGAAGGTGATTTTGCCCTCCAGGGGATATCCAGCCCTGTCTGGAGTTCACTGGGGAACTTCTGGTATTTGATGGGCCAAGGCCTGGGATTGGACTGTGTGTGAGATGGTACCCCACTCCCTTTTCACATGACATTATCTTAGAATGTGGCCCATTGAGACATCTTTCCAGCCCAGAGTATGGCATCTTAAATACTTGACTGGTCTTCTCTCAGATGTTGGGTATTTTTGTTTGTTTTGTTATTTTAGTTATGGGGCCACACCCTCTCCTGGCTCTGTATTCAGGAATCACTCCTGACGAGGTTTGGGGGCCCTCTGGGATACTGAGGATCAAACCCTGGTTGATGGATGCAAAGCCAGCATCTCCCCACTGTACTGTTTGTGGCTCCTCTCAGACATTGTTTTGGAGTGTTTTTGCTTTGGGAGACGTGTTTATACAATAGTCTGTTGTATGTCTGCAATAGATGTATTCTATTGACTCCCGCATCCTAGTTTTCTTGGTCAAATTCTTGACCTCTGCACTCATTTATGAGTATAATGAGCCTTGGATATTCCTGGATGTTCTGCTGTGGGTTGAGGTTTTGTGCCTGTGTTTGTTCCCTGCAGGTAAAATGATGCGGTGTGTCCGCTGTCCCGTGGCCTATCATGGAGGGGATGCTTGTCTGGCAGCGGGCTGCTCAGTGATTGCTTCTAACAGCATCATCTGCACCAGCCACTTCACAGCCCGCAAGGGAAAAAGGCATCATGCCCATGTCAATGTGAGCTGGTGCTTTGTGTGCTCCAAAGGTAAGGTTAGGCATGTGTGCGGCGTGTGCGCGCGTGCGCACACACACACACACACACACACACACACACACACACACACATACATGGTTTTGGGAACGAGCTCTATTCAGCCCATTTTCGTGACTATGGCTGTGTCTCCCTAAGTGGGCATTGCTTCCCATGGGTGGGGTGGGGGATATTCTTGGGACATTGGTGGCAGGGTGTTTTTGTTTATTTACTTAAGGTAGATTGGGGTGGGGGTCTCAGATGGCCCAGGCCAGTGTGTAGTCCTTGGCAGGAAGGCTCGGCGCTAGCTTTGTGCCCACGTGAAGTTGGGGACTAGGACATGCGTGATCTCAGGGCGAGCGCTTGCCTTTGTGTTTTCACAGAGCCTGGCTCTGGCTTAGGGCTGTCAGCATGGCCGGCTGGCCCTCTTGGCTAAGGCTGCTGCCTTTCTTCCCAGGGGGCAGCCTCCTGTGCTGTGAGTCCTGCCCGGCAGCCTTCCACCCCGATTGCCTGAACATCGACATGCCTGATGGCAGCTGGTTCTGCAATGACTGCAGGGCCGGGAAGAAGCTGCACTTCCAGGACATCATCTGGGTGAAGCTGGGCAACTACAGGTGTGGGGGCAGGTTTTCCTGTGCGCGCGCTTTGACTACTGTAAGCATTGAAGTTCTCATCACTCCCTTCGAAGAGTGTGTGAATCCTGTTTTTAATATTTATAATAGATGGTGGCCGGCAGAAGTTTGCCATCCCAAAAATGTTCCCCCAAATATTCAGAAAATGAAGCACGAGATTGGAGAATTCCCTGTGTTTTTCTTTGGGTCTAAAGATTATTATTGGACGCATCAGGCGCGAGTGTTCCCGTACATGGAGGGGGACCGGGGCAGCCGCCACCATGGGGTCCGAGGGATCGGCAGAGTCTTCAAGAACGGTATGGACATTTCTGGGGGTGGGTGTATCTGTTAACCTCCGTGTCTGGGGATTTTGCTCAACGAGAGAACACTGGCCTGAGCAACCTGGCTGGAGTTGAAAGTCAAAAGGGCAGGTGACTGATATGTGGTATTGATATGTGATTGAGATATGGACGCAAAGGGTAGGGCTTTCTGCTTTGGTGCTATTTCTGTATGATTTTATTAAAGTGCATTAAACTGGGGGGCAGAGCTATAGGACAGTGGGGAGGGAGATCCCCGGCATCCCATAGGGTTTGATAAGCCTGCCAGGAGTGCAGAGCCAGGAGTAAGTCTTGAGCACTGCTGGGTGTGGCCCAAACACTGAACCAGACAAACTAACTGCATTAAGCTATTTTAAATCCCTGAATGTCAGTAACACACTAGTGGCAAGTGCCTCAGGATGTGGGTGAGGGGGGTACAGGGCAGGACAGACAGGGGTGGGGGGGACGGGCACTTAGGTGGCCCCAGTAGCTGCAGGGGTCTGCCCCTCGCCAGCCCACGGCTCCTCTGGGTCTTCTGCACACGGTTGGCACTGACAGCTGAATGCGAGGGGCGAATGTGAAAGGAGAGTGGCTTTGACATTGAAGGTGGTGATGGGTGGCGGTCAGTCATGAAATCACCTGATGCCAAGGGGCCCACCACCAGGCCCTGATCAACAATCTTTGATTTTCTAGGTCAGTTAGGACGGGGAGTTGCATACTCACTCCTGGGACTTTGTCTTTGATCTCAATGGAGGGCCAGGAGCAGGAATTGGAACTGGAATGAGAGCCAGAGCTCTCATCCGCCCGTGAAGCCTTCCTGGGTCTGTCTCAGGCAAGGGAGCACAGCACAGGGCCTGCATTCGACAACCTACTGTCCTTCACACACTTCTGTGTTGACAACATTTTGCTGTTTGAAAGCATTTGCTGTAGGGCCAGAGTACAGGGGTAGGGCATGCTAGGGCATCAGGCCTGCTCTGATCCCTGGAGGCCCCCAGGAGCCACGAGTGACTTGGGTATGAACAGCTTCACATTACCCAGCCTTTTGCTGAGTTGAGGAATCGCCAGGAAGGACCCCAGGCTTGGGAGACCAGAGCAGATCAGTCAGATCAAGTCAGAATGTCTGCGTTGGGCAGGAGATGCAGCTTGTAGTCCAGTGTGTGCTATCCACAGAGACCCTGGGCCCATTCCTGACATCACAAGCCACCTGCCTCGTGTAGCTGTTCTCAGGAAGCTGGAAGCACACCTTGCAGGGAAAGGCCAGGGAGCCTGGGATTAGACTCCAGGGCCAAGTGTCTTGCTTAATAAAGGTCTCTCATGCAAGTCTTACTGGTTTTTAGCACTGCAAGAAGCTGAGGCTCGCTTTCGAGAAGTCAAACTTCAGAGGGAAGCCAGAGAGACGCAGGAGAGTGAGCGCAAGCCCCCGCCATACAAGCACATTAAGGTGAGGTGTCAGCCAATGAGTCCCGTGGGTGTGGAGCGCTCAGAACTCCTGAGACCACTAGAGAGGTGTATGTGTCTGGGGGTTGGGGGGGAGGGTGTGCACGTGAGACCTGCTCATGGACGGTTTCATAGGTCATGGTGCTTTGGGGGACAATGTGAACATGAAGGCCCTGGAGAGAGGGCCCAGCAGGAGGGCTCTCACCTCTCATAGCCACAAACCCCATATGGTTCTGGCATGCACAGCCAGGAATAACCCCTGAGCATTGCCAGATGTGGCTAAAAGAAAAGAAAAACATGTAACTGATAACTGACCCAGGTTTCATCCCTGGCACCGCATATGGTCCTCTTGAGCCCAGCCAGGAGTAAGTCCTGAGTACCACTGGGCATGGCCCCCCAAAAAAACAGAGTGAAAAAAAAGAAAATGAAGCTGAGTGATAATCCTGGAGGAGCAAAGGTCTCTGGGCCGACTCCTCACAAACCACTGAGGAGAGCACATGCAGGCCTGCAGCTGCCGAGACACTGCAGACATCCTGCCGGGTGGCCTCAGCCATGGGAACCAAGGCCTTTCTACCTAAGGATGCTCGAGACGGGCATGGTCTGGTCTGATGCAGAGGCCAGGTGCTCAGTCGAGACTGGCTCGACAGCAAGATTAGGAGCTGCTGGAGGAGGGGTGGAGGCAGCGCCTCGTGAGCCTTGCGTGTGACTGGCTGCCCGTTGACGGGGAGCTGCTTCGCTCAGAGGGGTTTGAGCACTGCAGGAAGTTCAGGAAGCCTGTCTGCACTCATCTGCACTCACTTCTTCCTTGGGAGAAGCTTCCAGAAAGGAAATTAGTGAGTCAGAGCATGAAACTTAGAGACACTTGAGGCCAGTTCTCGATTGTTGGGTCCGGCACGGTGTACCGAATGGAGGCAGGGGGAGAGCGTCAGCACGCCTTCCGAGGCTTCCTCACTTCTGGGTGGTTTCTTTCCCTGCTCGTGGCTGCTGCGTGTCAGGTAGGAGAGAGCTGTGCCCGAGCCCACAGGTAGGCAGATCTTTCCCTATTCCCTTCTGGGACTGCTTGGTACAGGGCACATCATGGTCGTGCCAGCTGTGTCCAGTGGGAAAGCCCCGGGGCGCTGTGCTGTGCCCCCTCCCCCCTTGCCCTTGCTGTGAGGCTGGGGCTCCCTTCTGCGGGCCGGCCTCAAGCAGCACCTCTTCCCTCAGGTGAATAAGCCTTACGGGAAAGTCCAGATCTACACCGCTGATATCTCGGAGATCCCAAAGTGCAACTGCAAACCCACGGACGAGAGCCCCTGTGGCTTCGACTCGGAGTGTCTGAACCGGATGCTGATGTTCGAGTGCCACCCACAGGTGTGCCCTGCAGGGGAGTCCTGCCAGAACCAGTGCTTCACCAAGCGCCAGTACCCTGAGACCAAGATCATCAAGACCGATGGCAAAGGGTGGGGCCTGGTTGCTAAGAGGGACATCAGAAAGGTGGGTGCTGCCCCCTGCGGCCTTGCTTTCTTGTGGGCGCAGGGCTTCTGTGCTGAGCTCTGCTCTTCACTCAGCCGGGAATGACTCTTGTGGGGGTTGGAGAGAGAGCACAGGATAAGGCACTTGTCCTCCATGTACCAACCCCGTTTTAGTCCGGGGCATGTGTGTGGCTCCGTGTTCCTGAGCACTGCCAAGGTGACTCGAGCCCCCTCCCCACAAAGACTGGTATTAGGGAACGAGTTCAAAGAGCAGGAACACAGACTTTGTAGCATGCGGTCAGACTGGTCACCTGAGCACTCAGCTAGGAGCAGCAACTGTCTGCCACCTCAGATGCAGCCCCCAGACCCTCAAGATAACTTCTAAACATGAGTTTTTGGTGAATTACAAGTTTAACATTGGTAAAAAGTCATGAAGGCAAAGGGGGCACAGTAAAACTCTTAAATTTCCCCTAAAACATTTCTGATCAAAACTTGGATAGCTTTTTGTCTTTTTTTTTTTTTTTTTTAATTTCTGTGGTCCCCAACAAGTGCTGATGTGCCCTTGGTGCTAGAATCACTGCCCTCCCACCCCAGAGGCCAGGACACAGCCTGTCCCACTCTGGTCACTTTGTCTGCGGCAGAATGATCACTTTGACGAAAAGAAATAGGGTGTCTTAAGCTCTCTCCACTTGGACTCTCCCTGAGAAGTGCTTGTGCAGCCAGGCCTATAGTATGTAGTGTGGGCATACGCATTCACTGATACTGAGGCATTTTAAAACAGAGTCTTCATTACACATTCATTTCTGCTGCCCCTTATGGCTTGCCTCTCGTTTTTGTTTCTTTGTTAGTTTGGTTTTTGGGCCACACCTGACATTGTTTAAGGCTTAAGTCCTGGCTCTGCACTCAGGAATTATTCCTGGCGTGGGGCTCTGGGGCCCAACGGGATGCCGGGGATCAAACCTGGGTCTGCTATGTGCCAGGCAAACACCCTCCCCGCCAAACCATCGCTTCTGGCCCTGTAGCCCTCAGTTTTAAGTGGCTTTGAGATCAAGGACTTGAGAAGTAAGTCTTCAGGGAGCAGCCAGGATGCTCTGGAGGGCTTGCAAGCACATTTCTGAGGCAGCTCTGGTTGGTCCTGGTAAATGCCATGTCTGTCCTTCTGGGAAAGGGCCCAGCTCTTCTTGAGGGCTGACCCATGCTTTGGGATCCACATACATGCCCGCAGTCTAGTCCCTACTTCGGCTCCCAGTGCCTGTGCCCAGATTCTTGTGTTGTAACTTGCCCGGTTCTCCCACTCTTTTATTCTCCTGGAGAACTTGATACAGTGGGCCGCCCTATCAAGGCTAGGAGCCTTCCTCACACTGCTGCCCATGATAAGACTGTGGGAAGCAGAAATGGAACAGTGCCACCACTAGCCTGGTTCCATCCCTGTGCCCCATACTGTCCCCTGAGCCCTCCAGGGCTGGGGTGATCACCAAGCACAGAGCTGGGAGTCAGCTCTGATCACTGCCAGTTGTGGCCTCCCCCCAAAACCAAAACATGGAATAGTGCTAAGATCAGGCTCAAGTGTATGCTGTGTGTGCTGGAGACCTGGATCGGACCCAGGTATTAGTGTGGAATGCTGCCAGGTATGACCCCATACACTGAGCCAAGAACAGCCCCTGAGTACTGCTGGGTAAACCGCCCCCCCCCCCCAAAAAAAAAAAGAAAAGAAAAACAGAGGAAGCCCTGGGCCAGTTCCTCACTGTGACGGTCTGAGTTCAGCCTGTAGATGCTGAAAGGCTAGGCCTGGTGGATCACATGTGCATGGCACTTCTCCTGAGTGCTGGCTAAGGCTGCCTGTCTGCTGTCTGTCCTCATCCAGTCTTTCTTTCCAGGGAGAGTTTGTGAATGAGTATGTCGGTGAGCTGATTGACGAGGAAGAATGTATGGCAAGGATCAAATACGCACATGAGAACGACATCACCCACTTTTACATGCTCACCATAGACAAGGTAACTCGTGTCCCAGGTACCCTGTTGTGAGTTCTGCAGTGTCCTGAAGGGGGTGTCCCTACAGCTCCGGTTTTGATATAGTTGCCTTCTGTCAAATCCCTGAGCGTTTCCTTCTCAGGGCAGTCTTCTGGCAATTCCTGCCGTGCAGTTGGGGAGCGGCTGAGGGCCTTGGTGCTGAAATGTGTGAGGCGTACAGAGCTGTCCTTAGAGGGCCAGGGGACAGAAAAGCACAGACTAGTGGCAGCCACGTCTTTTCAGTGGTCTAGTGAAGACGTTGGGGCTGCTCGTGGCTTCTCTGAAGCCCAGACTTGTGAACATTCTGGAATGTGGTCAGGCTTGAAGTGTCCCTGGGCTTGAGTAGCTAGGTGTGGGTCAGGGCTCCGTGCAGGACCATGGCCATGTGGAGCAGAGGTTCTGGATGGCAGGCAGGGGCTGAGGCACCCATAGGGGCTATGCCATGTGGGATGGAGGTTCTGGATGGCAGGCAGAGAGTGGAGTGTTTGCGTTCCCGCCATGACCCGACCATGTGACTGGGCATCACAAAGGACCTTTCTTGGGGCAGTGAGGGAGTTGCTTGTGTGGGTGAGGTTCCTGTCCTGTGTTCCCAGGGGTGAGTGGGGACTCCCTGTGAAGGGACAAGCTGTTCAGGTCTCAGGTGAAGCTGCGGACTCACTCTCAGGGGACACAGGGAGAGTGTGTGTGTGTGCACAAGCAGTGTAAGCAATGGCAGAGGAAAGAAATGTGGTGGATCTGATACAGGTGGTGCATCTGAGTGAAGGGTGTATTGGTGTTCATTGTAGTGGCTTCCACTTTAGTTAATCTAAAGGGATTGACAGGGAGCAGTAGGACCTGGGCCCAGGGATGGGGCTCAGCAATAAAGGAGACCCCCACATATGGGAGCCTTGAGAGGGAAGGAAGGAAGAGAGTGTTGGGTCACATTCTTCCCAGGATGTGGGTTTCCAGGAGACAGGTGACCAAGGGTCCTGTGGTTCAGAGTGAGGCCAGCCCGCTGCAGGTGAGGGGGACACGCAGTGGATTGGGCGCAGGCTTTCCTGCATGGAGCTGGGAGGAACCCCATACACTACTACTATTGGATGTGAGCTCCAAACCAACAAAACAGATAAGCGAAAGAGAAGCATCCTTTGAAAGAAAAACCAAGGAATCATGCTAGAATTGGTTCTGGGGGTCAGGGGGTGACTTAGTACTAGAGCACTTGCCTTGCAGGTGTGAAAGCCTGGGTTTGGGCCTGAAATGCAAAAAAAAAAAAAAAAAATTACAATCAGAGCTGAAGGAATAGTAGGATAGGGCGTTGCAAAAAGAGAGCACAAGAAAAGAGCAGGGAACTGAGGGTAAGTTTGGCAGACTTGGGAATTAATGGTCCGGAGAGATAGCAGAGCAGATAGGGCACTTTCTTTCATGTGACTGACCCAGAATCCTAAATGGTTCCCTAAGCACCGTCAGGAATAATTCCTGAATGCAGAGCTAGGAGTAACCCTGGGCACCATGGTGTTGCCCCAAAACGAAAACAAAAAAATGTCCCCCCAAAAACAAAAACAACAGGAATTAGCAAAGATCCATTGAAATTAACCCAGTTTAGATCCTGGGGACACTTGCTGACGCAGGTGGTGACAATGGTGATAGAACATGTGTAAGCCCAAATGTAAGTAACTCTGATTCATGGGGCTTCCATAAAATAAAATCTAGAGAGAAAAGAGAGAAGGAAGGAGACAGGGCAGAGGAGGTGGCTCCAAGGGCTGAGCCACACTTTCCTGTGGAGGTTCCATCTCATACCTCTGCCACTTGGCCCCCAGGAATCCTCTGATGGCAGCAAGGAAGGGCGAGGGCTGCAGACTCTGGAGGATGGGCCAGAGCCGTAGCACAGGGCAGAGCCGCGTGTGCCCTCAAGCCCCGCCAGGAGTCATCCCTGAGCACACCCAAAAGGTAGTGTTTTAGGCATCAAGAATGTCTTAAACTCCTAGTCAGTGTTTGCCAAGTGTTGCTGCAGACAGCACTGACCGTCAGTGGAATCTGACTGAAGGGAAGAGTGAAGGCTTTGGGAAGGTGCAGTCTAGGCTTCGTGTGAGAATCTTCCAGATTTAGATTGGCTTAAAAACAGCAATCCAACTTGGATTTTTTTTATTTATATAATAAAAATGAACCACAAAGGTTGTGATTTATTTTTAAAAAAAATAAGGGGTGAGGGAAAGAGTGATAGCACAGCAGGTAGGGTGTTTGCCTTGCACTCGGCCACCCCGGGTTCAATTCCCAGCATCCCATGTGGTCCCCTGATCACTGCTGGGAGTAATTCCTGAGTGCATGAGCCAGGAGTAATCCCTGTGCTGGGTGTGACCCAAAAAGCAATATATATATATATATATATATAAAATAAGGGGTGGGCCAGGGAGATAATTGAAGCAATAGAACACATGCCTGGGTTCAGTCCTTGGACAGATGAACATAGCTCAGTGGTAGAACATGTGACACATGTGACACCCTAGATTTGAGATCTTAAAGAGAAGAGAGGAAGAGCAAGAAAGAGAAGAGAAGAGTGACCAGGAGATCGCTGAGAGGAAGCGCCCAGGGTTGTGGAGAGTTTCCCTCCAGTTCCCAAACTGGTGCCCTGTCCCACAGCTGCGACTTAGCTGTCTGAAGTAGTCTGAGTAGGAGAAACGCAGGGAAAAGAGAATAAGGAAGAGAGTCTGCTGTTTTAAGTCAGCCAGAGACCCTGGGCAGGTGACAGAGGAACTGTCTAGTAAATGAGTGAGAAATGGAAGGCCATGGAAATGTATGTGCTAGAGAAGGTTTTGAACTTATTATAAACATTCAAACTGGCGTTGTGTTTTTTCGAAGACACACATTCCAGCCTGAGCCCCCTGGAGTGGGCTTATGTGCAAATAGGGTTGGGGAGGGAGTGGAAGAGTAGTAGGGAGTTTCTCCGGGAAAGTTTGGGTGGCTAAGAGCCCAGTGGGGGAGCTCACTGGCAGAAATGAAGCGCCTACCTGGTCAACACTCCTCAGGCAGTCAGGAAGAACAGGACAGTGCTGCTCTCGCCCACGGCGGGCAGTTTCACTTCTAAATTGCCCCCTGAGAAGCTCCGTTCAGAACAGTGAGAACACTGTGCTGGTTGGACTCTGAGGACTCACAGGAAGAAAGAGAAGTATGCAACATGGAACCACAAAACTATGTCACACCTTTTTTGTGGAAAACAACAGGTTGTTGATTTGTTTGATTTGAGGCCATACCTATGCTGGGGATGGAGCTGGGACTTCCATGTGCACAACATGTGCCCACAGCCTGCAGAGCCCTCTCTCTGGGCCTGAATAGTCATATGGGCTTGTTTTCAACAGAGGCTGGGAGCCAGGTACAGGGATTTCCCATCGTGGGCAGGTGCTCCTCTGTGAAAGCAGGATGCCCACCTGTCGCCATCACAGCACAGGAACTGTGATAGCTGCTAGCTAGCCCCATCTAGAGAGTGCACCCCCAGACTTCCTCTGGAAGGGGCACTGTCACCTGCCCAAGGGCTGAGGCAGGTGACAGGATGGTGGCAGGCTGGGAGGCCAAAGCACATGCCTGCAATGGCAGCTGGAGGGGAGCCCTGACACCATGCCAGGAAACACGGACTGTCTGTTACCAGGAAGCTCTGAGTGGAAGAGGGAAGGTGTTTCCAGGTGGAGAGCTGAGTCCTGACCTGGCCTGACCCAGGTTCCCTCCTGTGGGGTAGCCAGTAGGTTCTGATCCCCCAGGCTCTCCCTTGTGGGTCGCGGTGTGCTTGTTAGGGACCATCTCCCTCTAGCCAGTGGCTTTCTAGAGGGTTCTGTCGCCCTTATCAGCCAGCCGTTAGAATTAAGGATACGGAGTCAGGTGTCCTCATTATTTTAATCATCCACTTTGGCAGCTGTGGGGTTTCAACCTTGTCCCTGAGTTTGTTCTGGAAATATTCGCATGCTGCCTTTGCCCACTGTCGCCAACAGGCCTGGTTCTTGTGTCTGCTTTAGGTGGTCTTCTGGTTCCTACTGACTCCCTCATTTATGATCATCTGGTCATCTGGTGGACAGATGTCCTCCCAGAGCACTGCCCTGTCCATGCTCACCAGGGCTTCGTCTTCTCCATGTGGTCCTGACCTGCCCTCCACGAGCAAGAGAGATTGAACTGGTTTTGGGGGTACCCTGTCTGAGTGGACATGGGAGACCACGGTTTTCAGTACAACAGTAATTGTTTCTCTTAGCACTATGGAAATTTCCCTTAAAAATGTAGTGATTGGGGTTGGAGCAATACTGCAGCAGGTACAGCACTTGTCTTGCACATGACTGACCCAGGTTTGCTCCCCAGCACCCCATAAGATCCCAAGTATCTCAAGGAGTAACTCCTCAGTGCAGAGCCAGGAGTAATCCCTGAGCACTGCCAGGGGTGGTCCAGAAACAAATGTAGTAGCTGGAGCTGACCACGGGTGGTAGGCGCTATTTAACACTCAAGTGTGCCTTACAGGATCGCATCATTGATGCCGGCCCCAAAGGGAACTATTCCCGGTTCATGAATCACAGCTGCCAACCCAACTGTGAGACCCTCAAGTGGACAGTGAATGGTGACACTCGCGTGGGCCTGTTTGCTGTGTGTGACATCCCCGCAGGTATGTGGCTATCATAGGGGTGGAGGTGATTCAGAAGCTTGATTTTTGGTTTGCTTATCTTTTTTTTTTTTTTAAATGAAGCAAAATGGAAAAGTTTAGGTATGAAAATAGAGTGAGTATTCAAGGACTCTCAGTCCCAGTGCTTCTGGCCTCAGGTCAGCAGGCCTGAACATTAGAGTGTGTCCTGAATGGCCCCAGTCCCCTGAACATTGATTGGAAGACCCCAAACCCTCATCATAATAGTCTTGGCCCTGAGCCAGACCAGAGTTGCCAGGGGTGTGTCTCCACAGGAACTGAGCTGACGTTCAACTACAACCTTGACTGTCTGGGGAACGAAAAGACGGTCTGTCGGTGTGGGGCATCCAACTGCAGCGGGTTCCTCGGGGACAGGCCAAAGGTAACCTTGCTGTCCATGCAGGCTTTCTGGGGGGAGGTCTGTTCCTGGGTTCCCTTGGGCTTATGTGCCAGCACTTCAGTTTCCTCCTGGGGTACCAGGTGCCCCGAAGCTCCTGGGACCACACAGTAGGGCCTTGACCATGCCATGCTCCAAGCCCTGCTTTCACCTATCCTCTGGTCGGGTCCAGGCGAGCGTATTGGCATCTGATACTCAGCCAGGCAGATGCTTTTGCTTCTCATTTGTTGTCATTTCTACTGAAATTCTTTATGAAAAGCAGGACGCCCCGTGCCTGTCAGAACCACTGGCCCATGTGTCCTTCCAGGCAACAGGGCTGTCTGTGGCCCTACCTGTCACAGTGAGCTGGGCTTCCTCATGGCTATAGAAACAGGTCAGAGTTGGATGACCGTGGCTGTGTGTCTGTCCCTCCATAAGAGCCCATGGGAGAACAGCCCCAGGGCCCTGTGGGTGCAGCTGAACTGTCTTGTCACAGTAGCATCCGGAGTTCTTCCAGGTGACATGTATTCGCTTTCTAGACCTCAGCAGCCCTTTCTTCAGAGGAAAAGGGCAAAAAGACCAAGAAGAAAGCCAGGCGGCGACGGACAAAAGGTGAAGGCAAGAAAAAGTCCGAGGACGAGTGTTTTCGCTGTGGTGACGGGGGCCAGCTGGTGCTGTGTGACCGCAAGTTCTGCACCAAGGCCTACCACCTGTCCTGCCTGGGCCTGGGCAAGCGGCCCTTCGGTGGGTGATGGGGCTGTGTGTGCCCTCTGTGTGTGTGGGGGGGAGGGGTCCCATGTTCTTGCTATCTGCTCTCCATAGGGGCTCTGCTCTGCCCGTGCCTCCCTCACCCTGTCCCCAAGGCCATCTTGCCTTCATGACCCAGGTGGCATTAGCGCCGACAGCAGCTGGCTCCCACAGTTGCCTGAGAAGAGCTGCTTCTGCCTCCAGTTCCTTTCCCGGTTTCAGGGTTCAAGCATGATTCTGTGATAATCATTTGTTTTGTTGCAGGGAAATGGGAATGTCCTTGGCATCATTGTGACGTCTGTGGCAAACCATCGACTTCCTTTTGCCACTTTTGCCCCAATTCGTTTTGCAAGGAGCACCAAGACGGGACAGCCTTTGTCTCAACCCAGGATGGGCGTTCATACTGCTGTGAGCATGACTTGGGGGCAGACACAGTTCGAGGTGCCAAGACTGAGAAACCCTTTCCAGAGCCTGTGAAGGCCAAGGGGAAGAGGAAGAAAAGGAGGTGTTGGCGGAGGGTCACAGAAGGCAAATAGCGCCTGGCTGGGCCGATCAGGGGCGGTGTGGGTGGCCCGCCTGCCTTGTGGGCAGAGGCCCAGCTCCGCCTGCCTCCTAGGGGGCGCCTCCCCGCCACTGAGCCATCATCTGCAGCGCTGGCTGCGTCTGCACTGAAGACCCGTCTGAGCCGCGTGGTTGTGAACATTCCAGGACACAGCAGCCTTGCTCGACAGCATTACAGCTACACTTGAAGTCCTGCACATCAAGGTTCCCCTGCTCCTTTCTTAGGTTCAAGTTATGCTTGAAAATTTACTGGCACATGAGATGTTTGCTCTCACCCTGGAGAGTGAGTGTGGGCTAGGATTTCTTCCTAAGTGATCACTGTTCTCTCCCTAATCCCAGCTCAGTCAGCACTCAGGACAGACCAGGGGGTCCTGCCTCACATCCTGCACTCCTTGGGTACCATGTTTGGTTTTTTTTTGTTGTTGTTATTCTGTTCTTAGGAAACAGCTGTTTGTCTTTGTACTAATGTGAAGCTTCTCCTCAGACCGCTTCTCATGGTGAGCGACCAGCTAGGGGCTGTGGCAGACGGAGACCAGTGAGCAGGCTCCAGCGTTCCCTGCCAGGCTTCCCGCTTGGTGCGGCTGAGCTCTGCTGCAGGCAGCTACCACCTTCACCTCCTCCCTGAACAGGCATGGGCTGGTGTGTCTCTCTGAACCACGTTAGGTACTTCCCACCTTGCCTGGGGAAGGGAGGCCAGGTTTCCCGACTCTGACTTTTCTTTCCAGGCTTCTTTTATCCCAGTATATTCTTGCTAAACTTCACAAATGCCCCCAATAGAAATGTGTGTGCTGATGTGACCCTAATCTAAGCAAAAGTAGGGGACTCTGAAAGTGTGGCCCCCGGTGAACTGATTTAAAGTGCTAACAGGGAAAATGATTAACTCCGCCTCATGGCCACCCAGTAGTAGCAATAGGTGCCACACTTGGTGATCCAGAGTGTCTGGGGTAAAGTGCAGGTCTGAGGAGACCCACAGCTTAGAACTGGCCTTTTAAGGCCATTTTCTCCTGCATTGTGGGAAAATAAGAATCTCTGGTTGTATGCAGGCCCTCCTGGGAGGAAACAGTTATTCGTAGGCCCAGGTCCCCCATGGGGCGAGACTTCTGAGGTGTCTCTGTGGAATTTTACCCCAGGAAAGCGGGCACATCCTCAGGGTCCCCCCACCCCCACCTCCCAGCGTGGCGGCGGGCACTGTAGCAGGTGTCTTTTTCTTTTAAAAAAAAAAATGCAGGACATCTCTTCTCCACATGCGTTTACAGTTCTTTTGTTGCTGAGCCTCCTGTCATTCCTCTCACTGCTTAGGTTGTTGGACAGCAGGATGCACGTCCTGTTCCTGATTTTTCTGTGGCCCTGGGATGTGCACGCTCAGGCAGAGATCAGAATCTGCCCTGGGGTTGAGTCCCCAGTTCCACACTTCCCCAAGCACTAACTGCCCCCCTGGCTGGCATGGTGGCTGTGGAGTTGTTTGTTGGGTTTAGAACCGAGTCCTCCCCAGCTGTCATAAATACTGGACTGACTCAGAGACCAGTGCTCCTCATGGCTAGCTTGGTTTCGGGGGAGGGGACACCTGAGTCTGAACACCAGGATTAGGTGTGTAATGTAGTGCACTTTGGGGAACAGTGTAACTTATTTTTGTATTTGACAGTACGAAGATCTTGTGATTTTGTCACTATCGTATTTGTTCCAAAATTTGTTTCTGAAGTATGAAATACTGGAAAAGTTTTGAATGTGGCTTCTTTCCAGACGACACTAACATTGTGAATCTCTAGAGCAGCATACTCTGGCTCTGGACTATGGTGAGCTCTCAGGGCCTTTACAGCAGACAGCTGTAACATCCAAGTCTGCTGGGGGGCACTTCTTTCTGATCCTTTGTCATATGTGTGGAGCAGGAACAGCCAAGCACCCAGACACCTCAGCACTGAAACCGAGTCAGACACACATACACACCCCCAACCTGACCCAGGTGAGCACTGTGGGGTGTCTGACCAGTCATCTGCAGAGTGTCAGGGTACCCCCTCCCCTGCCCACACACACTCAGGGCTGTCCATCAGAAGTCTCAGTAACCCACCACGTGTCCAGGGCTCACCTTCCTGAACAACTATGTTCTTAGGCTCCAGACAAGCCTGTTTCAGGTTACTGCAAATGACTGAGTTGCCCAATTCTTGGTGCTATGAGTGTAGTGTTCAGTGAACGTTTAGTCATAGAGTAACCGCTGTGTCATGAGACCTGAACTGTGCTTGTCAGGCCGGTGCTTCAAGCCCATCAGGGACACTGGGTCCTCATTGGTGCCAAGAGTCAACTTGAAATTCATCTGGGGGGTGGGGGGGATAAACTGAAATGTAGATTTGAGAATTGCCAGTTGGGGAAACTAGCATTGAAAGTGGTAAGTTGCGTCTGGAAAATTGTGTATGAGTATTTTTGTATTAAAAAATTTTAAAGGCCTTTTTTAAGCCTTCATGTGGGATTTATTTGGCATTTTGGGCTTGCAGTACCAGTGAGCTGTCCGTGCACACAACACTCAGGGACTCCTGCTGTCAAATGTATCTCCCAACACAGCTGAGAATCCCAAAGCTTCTTAAGAAAAAGGTCTTCTGGAGACAATCTGGTTTCTAAATTCCCACTATCCTATACCCCAAGGGGCCAAACCAAGCTGAGAGGACAAGGCCCAGAACATAGCTCCGGGGCTGAGTTTAGAAAAACTAAACTTTAATGCCTCCATTATACAGTGAAAACGAACCCAAAGGCTGCTCTTAAATGCCACACATGTACAAAAGAACCAGAAACCCTGTACGCGGTGAGGGCCCTGGGACTCCTCAACCCAGGTGTAAGTGTTGCTCTAGCAAAGACCTTGCCTGTGAAGTGACAAAAATTAGAAGTTATAACTTTTCTGGTTAGCATTCAAAAATGTAATATTGAATCCAAAACATTTTAAATCACACAAAATATCATAACCCATATTAAAATTTAAAAAATCAAGTCCAAAATACCCCACACCCAAGTGACTCCAAGACTGGGGTAAAGGGGGTTGGTTGTCCCGGCCCAGCCCGCGTGGCCCTAGGACACATTAGCCATGGGCTTGTACTTCTTGAACCGTGTCCACTGGCCTGTGGCATAATTCATCTCGAACACAGTGTCCACCAGCATGGTGGTGCTGCCCTGGCCATCCGACTTGGGCAGGTCCTCCGTGTGCTCGCTCAACTTGATCTGGATCACGTCACCCTGCTCCTGGCACGGGTTCTCTGTGGAGGGCAGGGGCTGCTGGGCAGGCACTGGGCCCCGGAGCCCCACCCCCCACCCCACCGGGCTGCCTGAGAGACCCACCTCTGGAGCCGGCCATGAAGCCCAGGATAAGTGCCTTCTCGGGTCGAGTGACCTTGTTGGCCGTTTTGAACATCTCCTGTGCTGCAAACATCTGCTCTCTCTGTAAGTTTAAGAGTGTGTGGGGACCTGGCTTCCTCAGCCCCTTTGCTCCCCCTCTGCCCACAGCCCTCGAGAAGACATACCGTGAGGGAGAGGTTCTTCTTGAGTTGCTGCTGTGGTGGAGGCTGGCTCTGTGGGGCTGCGGTGGCTGTGGGGGGTGTTGGGGTTGCTGGCGCAGCAGATGGGGGTGTGGTGGGTGTCAAGGGCGAGGTGGGGGCTGCAGGGGAGGGTGCGGGCGTGGCAGGGCTGAGGCTGCTGTTGTACATGGGTGCCCTCTGCTTGAACTGTGTGGGCAGTGCTGGACTCGGGGTGCTGGACTCCTCAGGGGGTCGGCTGGCCGGCATGTTGGCTTCCCGGGAAGACGAAGCTGCGGGCAATGAAGTCTGGTGAGGGACCCGGACTGCTGGCCCCAGCCTACCCCGTGGACCACACAACATGGAAGTGTTTCTGTCTGCCAGAGACACGTCTGTGCTGAGAACCTGGAGCCCCCTACAACGGGCAAATGGGTTCACATCCTGACCCAAAGTGCCATTCTCAGCTCCCTCCTGGCAGGCAGGGAGCCCCAACTGCTGCCCACTGACCTGGCGGTGTCTCGGAGCTGGCAATATAGGAAGATGCTGGTACCACGCTGGGCGTAGCTGGCAAGTAGCTCATGGAGGGCAGTGCAGGCTCGTTGTTCAGAGACCCGAGTTTCTGAAAGACAGAGTTTCTGGGCCCTCCTGAAGAGGCTGAGTGGGGGTCTTGGGACGTCTCCCCTTGTGACCTGCGGCCAACTCAGGAGGCCCCAAACCAGCCAGAGTATAACAGGGACTTCTCTCACAACAGTGTCCAATGAAAGGAAACTTGTGAGCACACAGCACTCGGGGCAGCATTCAGGGGAGCACTGCCTGGGCATGAGGTGCCAAGATGGGACCCCATGCAGGCCCCACTCTGGGCCCTCTGCCAGCTGGCCCATGTGCCCTCACATACACAGGTGCCTGGACATCAGGTGCACAGACACACATACAGGAACCCCTACAGAGACCTGCCAGGTGCTGGTGAAGAGGGGAGCCCAGGCAAGGTCCTACCTGCGTCGACACCAGGCCAGCTGCATAGTCAGGAGTAGCATTCTCAACGATGGTCTCTTCCTTGGCCGGTTTCTCCACGACTTCTGTGTCTGAAGACAGAGCAGAACCCTTTAGCATGCCAGGACAAAACCCCTGAAGGGAAGGGCAGCGTCCCCCCACCCCCACGCACCTAACGTCTTCCGCCGCCTCTTTGCTTCTCTGCCAGCACCAACCATGTCCAGCTCCGAAATATCGAGTAGCTGCAAGGACAGAAAGCACCCTTAGAGCAGAGCAGCAGTGGGCACCAGGCCAAGCAGACTGGGGAGCACAGGAGCCATGCCCACCTTCACTCCTCTCTCCTTCCGCAGAGGGGTCCTGGAAGGCGGGATGGGGGTCCTGTTCCCAGCAGGGCTGAAGACGCTGGGGGTGGTGGGGCTGCGGAAGGGCGCCTGCTTCGGAATGCCTTTGAGCGGGGCTGCAGGGGGCACCAGTGGGTGGCATTGTCAGCCTCCTGTGTCCCCCAGAGGCCAGCACTCAGACATGACCATGAGGGACAATGACATGTCCACCCCTGCCCCACCCCATGTGCAGTTTCTGGACACGGCAGATACCAGAGTGCCCACAGGTGGGCCCAACCCAGGTGGAAGTGGCGCTGGGGGGGAGGGGTGGGCGGGCATATTCAGCTCAGTCCCCACAGCTGCCCTGTGAGTTCTGTCTCCCAAAGAGAGAGTTCCCTAGGAGCTGAGGGCACTGCTATCTCCTGGTCCTTGTGTCCCCCAAGCTGGCAACACCATCTCCACCAGTCCAAGGAGCCTTTCACCTAGACTTGTCCAGGTTGTTCACTGAGCCCCTCACTCCCGCTCCTGCCCCAATGCTGCCCACCCTGGGCCTGGGGCTTGCCCTGCCCAGTCTGATGGCAGCAGCACCACAAAGCCTGCTGGGAGAAGTAAGCATCTGGGGTCAGGCCCTTGAGAGCAAGGCTTACTTGTTGTATCCATCTTCCGGAGCAGCGCCCGGCCCTTGGCATGGAAGGGGACCCCCGCGGTCCTCTTCAGCTGCTGGGCAGTCTCAGTTGCTGCAGGAGGGCAGAAAAAAAAAAAAAGCATCGCACTGTCTGTCCTGTAGCCACCCACTCTCAGGGGTGACAGCAGCAAGATAAGGAACCCGGGATGCCTACAGGGAGATGCTGAGCTGGCAATTGAGCATCACTGGGAGGCAGCTGGTCTGGTCAGTACCTCCCTCAGACCCAGAGACGCTGGTTCCGACAAAGCCAGCTCCAGCCAGAAATGGGGTGTGGGGCAGGGGGCCTGGATCTGCCAGTCCTGGGCTCAGAGCATCACTCGCTAGTGCTCCATTCTTTTGTTTTGTTTTGTATTTTGGGTCACACCCAGCGATGCTCAGGGGTTACTCCTGGCTCTGCACTCAGGAATCACTCCTGGCAGTGCTCGGGGGATCTTATGGGATGCTGGGAATAGAACCTGGGTTAGCCACATGCAAGGCAAACGTCCTACTTGCTGTGCTATCTATTGCTCCAGCCCCAGGGGCCCCATTCTTACTGGCTACTGGGCCCCAGCTGACATGCAGATCCTTGGCCTCCCCTGCCTGTTCAAGTG